GATGTCAGAACAAAACGTCGTATCTCCATTTTTGTCATTTTTCAGTTTTTGACATAATTTGACAATACCTTTTGCTCTTTACATTGTGTGCAAATTTCATGATGAATTGACTAAAAGAAACAGCCCAAAATTACCCAAAATGTCCGGTTCTATTGACTTACATTAAAAGTAAAGTATTTTTTTCCTTCTCCTGTAAAATTTACCATTTTGGCGATACAAGGTTTTGTTCCAACAGCACTGATTGGCAACATTTTCTTTGTCAAGTTGTGCAGTGGCTAGGCTGTGGTCATTTTCAGTCCATATCAAATCTATTTCAGCTTTTGTGTTAACATTTTCTGTCCCTGGACGAGTCTTTGTGAAGGTGCATTCTAAAACATTCTCTCTGTCAGGTGTAAAGTTCTTTCATTTGTGGTGAAAATTCTGCCAACCAGCCTCCAGCTGCAGCATGAGGATCACTTTCATCAGTGTCTCTTTCTTTTCTCCTGTTATATACTATGTTTTATTAAAGTTGCGTCCAATCTCCAGCCTGTCGTGTTGAGTCACGAGTAAACTATGCACACTTTCATTTTCATTTTAAATTTAATTGCATATATTAATATCCAGAGGACATTTTTGATCAGTAATTTCTGATAGACATTTACAGTGCGTAGAAGTGAAAGGGTGGTCATGACCGACAACCAGTTGTGGACGAAGTACACAAATCATGTACCTGAGTTAAAGTAGGGATACCCAAGGTAAAATATTACTCCAGTAAAAGTAGATGTTCCTCCCTTTAGACCTCCACTTGAGTAAAAGAACAAAAGTATTTGCCTTCAAATGTACTTTGTATTGAAAGGAAAAGTACTAAAAGATTAATTATGGCTCTAATGTCCTATTACCATTTTTGTAACAAGACTCTTGCTTCATTAACTCATTTTAGGTGAAAATACTCTAGTGTCACCGTCGATAACCCAATCTTTTAATAGAATGTCATTAATTAGTCTGACTCTGATGTCTATTAAAATTATCATAAGCACAAAACACTGAAGGTAAACAATTTCCATTAGGTAGAACCGAGTGTCTCTGAAATAACCTTTGCGAACAAGCAAAGTTTCAGTTTAAGATTTATTTGCAACTTAATTACAAGTTTAAGTTTAATAAAAACTTGCTTTAATCACAGGTTCACAAATTAGTTTTCCTTTACTATATTGCATCTGTAGGTCTCTGTTCATAAACATAAACTAGCAAAAACAAATTTACAATAAAATAAAAGTGTTTGTATAAATTCAGAAAAAAGAAACATGCCAGTCACAACTGCATATCTGTACATATTTCTATATTGTGGTCTGTTTACACAAAGTTAGGTTAGTTCTATCATTTATGTAGGAATAGGCACTCCCCGTAAGCTTGCACTGGGTCGGTATGTCCAACAGGTCAAAACAAGCTCAAAACAAAGTGCGCGCTGTGCCCTGATTGGTGTTCTTGCTTCATTCTTCTTTTGTTTTGACATGAGCCACATGAGCCAAAAGGAACAACAGATTTCGCATAATGTAGTGGAGTAAAAAGTAAGATATTTGACTTTGAAATGTAGTGGAGTGAAAGTAAAGTTGCCCAAAATGGAAATATTTCAGTAAAGTACAGATACACGAAAAAAACTACTTAAGTACTGTAACAAATTACATTTACTTCGTTACTGTCCACCACTGCCGACAACGACATAGATATACATACCTAGATGTCGCGTTGAGTCCAGCCAGGCACGTCAATGGCGCTGCCTTTATAGGGTGGTCAACTTTGCTGCTGGACTGCATTTAGTACCATTACAGAGTGGCAGTTTAAGAAAGATACTGTCCAAAATTACACAATTTCAAGAATATTTCACTCAGAAAGCAGGATATGATAATATAACAGAGAGAATGCAGTGATCCTCACATGTTTGTGTAATGTTTACTGTTTGTGTGATGTTTATGTGTTATGTGAGGTTAGTGAAGCACAGAACCTGTTGATGTGATTGTCTTTCCTCTGGCTTTATGTTAAATTTATTTCATTTCATTGCCTGTAGGGGATGTAGTAGTGATTTATTTAAAATGATTGTTACTGCTTTGTAGCTATAGGTAATATCAGTGTAGATATTCATAATAGATTAGCAGCTTCTTACATGAGGCTGAAGTCAGCTTCTTATTTGCCAGGTTCTTGGTCAGATTTTCCTGTTTCTACCTTAAATGGTGCCGCTTCAGGCACCAGAAAGTAACTGCTGTACCATTTATGGTGGAACGGGAAAATCCGAATAAGAAGCTGGCAAATAGAAAAGCCAACTTAAGGTTTGTCCTTCTTGTTTTTGGGTGGTTTACATTTTTATGTGCATTAAGATTAGAAGTCATTCATACATTGATGGATTTGCTGATGTGTGTGAGATTATGTTTCTACCAGATCTCACGCTAAACTCGATTTTTAATGTCAGGTGCAGACTGAATACTCCCCTTCTGGTTAAATAGAAATGAAAGCTACCGAGAGCCGTCCATGCAACCTAGATTAATCTATGTCTGAGGATTATAACAAAACAAATTTGGTGAAAATTGATTGAGTAATAAAGACGTTACAGCCAATTTAATCAGAGAAGATTGAATGAGAACTCATCTTATCTCAGTACATGAGATACTCTCCAACATGGCGGATGCCAATCTTTTCTTTTTTAATAGTCATCATTTCAAAAGGCTCAGTTTGACCAGTTAGCCTTTCTCTTTTTTAAGATGCATATATCAATCCAAGAAGGGAGATTCTTGCCCAAATTGAAAAGATGCACCACATGCTGCAAGGACTTCCACTGCCCCTTCTGCTGCTCAGCTTTGTTTCACCCAACAAAGTTAAGCAAAGTCAAAACCCACTTAGAGAGCCATTTCAACCGGGTGGTTCTCCATGAAGGTAATGTTTGCGAACATCCTTTTGGGAAATGCAATTAGTTTTAATGCGTCTATGCATTAAAAGCAGCCTGAATGTTTTGATCAATTTCATTAGCGCAATTAATTAAAATGTCCCCCTGTGATTTGTTTTTGGCAACTGGATTGTGAATTTGGGCGTTCATAATTTACACAGAGACACACACACACACACACACACATACACACACACACAAACATATTATCTAAGCCGCTCATCCTCCTGGGTCATGGGGGTGGTTAAGGCCAAACAAAAGAAACACCACAGCAGCGTCTTCAAACTAAAGAGTTTAAAAAACTAAAGGGGAATGCAGTCACCAAAAGGGCTCTTGTGTTTTTGTGTTTTTGTTTTTTTTTTAATTATGCTGAGAGATACTCCACAAACCAGAACTCAAAACTCAAGAGAGGAACTAAAACCAAAGTTAACGGCTTAGTCTGAAACATGCACATAGCATAGTGACCTCAAGACTGAGCAGAAAGCAGCATGTGAGCACCCCTTATGTAGGGTGCCCACAGCTGTTAAAGGAGTAGTATTTGAGCAGAATAAGCCTTTAAAACTATAGGTAGTTAGATACTGTAGTATTATTTTGGTGGAATGACCTTTAAAACCATAAGCAGTTAGATGAAGTGATAGTATTCAGACAGAATAAGCCTTTAAAACTATAAGTAGTTAGACAATGTAGTAGTATTTGGGTGGAATGATGTAAGATGGCATACAGACAGTAAGAGCTTTATGGATAAAAATATGGATAATGTGTCTCCCGACGCACAGCCAGCGATGACCAGCCAAGCTTTTCATAGAGTACACAGTGATGGGTTCTGTAGGTGTCACCAGTAATGAATCTACTGGTTGTGTAATGAGTAATAAGTGGTGTACAGAGTCAAAGGTTTCAGAGTAGTTGCAGATGCGTATCTGTATATCATACCACCATAATCCAGGATAGACAACAGCGTTGCTTCAACAGTCTTTTTCCTTGTGTGCATAGAATCACATTTTGTTTCTATACAGGAAGCCAAGTTTTTGCCTCAGTTTACATGTAAGCTTGTACATCATCTAGTAATATCAACACTAGATGGCGTAGTAGTTGAGTATAAAAGCTCATGGCTTGCATGTCACCCCCATATAAAATATATAGTCCTGTCATTTGACCAGAGGTACCCAAACTTTTACACATATTTGTGTTTACCAGCTGCTTGTTTTCTGTTTATCATAATCATAGATGGTAATAAGCTAAATATATATAAAATTCATCATTATCATAGATAGTAATAAGCTAAATATATTTAAAAAAAATCAATAATTCTTACTTTTTGCATTTTTATGTTGTGTCCCAAAGTCTGAAAATGAGTGTGGAACATCAAGAACTGTCACTACTGAAATACAGATTTTGTGCAATGAAATAATATTTTTGGTGTTTGAATGAAAAATATTATTGTTTTATGTGTGAACAGCTGTTCAAAGCTGTGATTGCTGGTCATGTACTGCCTGCATGTTTGAGTTCAGCTAAAACTGAGCTAAAATGGTCACTACTGAAACAATCAATACTGAAACATTTGGTAAAGTTTGGGTAGAATTGTGATTGTTTTGGTAGTGACAAAATGGAGTGTTCAATCATTTCTTTTAACTAAATGAACATAATTAAGGTATAGGGTCCATCAAAGCAAACAAATTTTAGTCTAAAGTCTAAGATCAGTTAAAAATCCCAAATGTGTTTCCAGCTCTGACTCTTATTTTCTTTTTGCTTATTGCTCTTATTGCTGTGCACACTGTTGTTCCTACAGCAGACCAACAGCACTGCAGTATCTTCTAGGAGTGAAAATCAGCTGCTACATACTGCAGAGGTCAAAGGTCACAACTCAAATCACCTTCATCCAAACCTGAGGCCTCAAAGACCAGAACACCAAAACAGACTCAGCTTAAAGTCAGGTTTAACTGTAACTTTCAGTTAATACATCATACATTTAATACAGTAAGATGTGAAACAATATCTCAGTGTGAATTTGGCCCATCAGAGCTGTTGACTTTTATTTAAGCCACTGTAATGTTTATGTCTAAATGATGTAGAGTTAAAACACAAAGAGGACAAAGTCGTGTCTATGCTCTTAGAGATATTTGAGATCTCTTTATCATCACACAGCAGTGCATATCACACCGATCTCTGTGGTCACAGATTCGTCACGCGAAAGATCCAGTCCCTATACAGTGGGTTACAGATGTTCTTGAAGTCCAGTGGACCCTCATTAAGATAATCAAAGCCAGACCTAAACAATCCATACAGCACATCATGCTGCACTCTCGGTGGACGCCAGACAAGACTCCCACCAGAATCACCCTATAAATACAACAGAAGAAGCAGTGGATCATTACTGTGTGTATTAGAGTCAGTGAACATAACTGATGTAAGATTGTGAGAAAACATACTTTACTGGCTGCAATTAGTGGATGGTGAGCACAAACACATTGACCAGGGACAAAGGTGCTATTCGGAATTTGGTCACAGTTATTTGGTGCTCCAGGCTGACACGCTACAACTCTGGTGACTCCAAAGCGAAGCCCATGTGCATCGGAACGATCTGTGGATTGGAAATGAGATGATGATAATTTGGCTGTACAGTCTGATCCATCTGAGAAGCCCATTTTTTTCAGAGAACTTAATCTTACTTATCTTTCGCAGCCCTCCGTATTGAGGATCTGGTGGACCGAGAGTTGCATTCATCCACCCATAAAAGCGAACTGACTGGCCAACAGGCGGTGCAGTGCAGTGTTGAGGAGGAAGCTGAATGGTGGGAAATGGACCACGCTGACTATTTCTCAGTTTCAGTAACATGAGATCATGAAGTTCTCCGTTGTCACAACAAAAATGTCTTTCAGCGATTTTCCGCTCTTCTCTTTGCGCAAAGACGGGATGAGGGTTCACAATTGCCCTCAAGGACCTAACAGCGCAGAATGAGAGAATGAGAATAGAGATGAGTTCAGAGCACATCTGTACTAGACTAACTGGATTTCTTCATCATTTTCATTATGTAATACAGAGCACCACACTGTTAGAAATAAAGGTGCTGTGCAGTTACCTTTTCCATTCATCAAGGTACAAACAGTGTAAATGTTCCCTCAAAGGTACATCAGTGGTTTTAAGGTCCAATTGGGCACCTTAAATAAGTTTTTCCAGGTGAAAAGTACGTATTTGTACTTTTTCCATAATTGAATGTTTTAAAACAGAACAATAAAATAAAAAGCCTGGAGACGAGACAGGGTGTGTGGAGTCAATACAGCTTAGAAAATATAAGTTCAATAGATTTTGGTACAATTATGTTCCCTGGCTAAACCTACTGAGATGTACCCTTGAGGGTACCACCTCAGTGACAAGAAGGGGACCACCCCAGTGACAGTTCAGTGTCTTTATTTCTGAGAGTGTAGGTGGTGTTTTTATCCTCTTTGCACTGTGCATTCTGATGTAAATCAGGATGCACAATGATGATCAGAATCATATCAGAATTGACAGCTAATGAAAATGAAATTAACTCGACAGGACAGGTGTTTAGATCTGTCTGATATTGGATGATGTCATTACTGTACTGTGAAAGAGCAGAATGTCTGAGCAATGCTGGGCTACACAGACATTTTTCCTATTTTACATCATTTGTTAACACATATCGCTGTTGCTGGAGGAAAACTTTGTGTCTCCATTTTTATTGTTTTTCAGTTTTTGACATAACTTAAAAATACCTGTTGTCCTTTCATGATGAATTGACTAAAAGAAATGACCTAAAATGACTCAGAAAAAAAGTCTGGTTCCACTGACTAACACTGAAAGTAAAACAGGTTTTTTCCTTCTTCTATAAAGTTATCATTTTGGAGATACGAGGTTTTCTCCCGACAACAGCGATACACACACATAAATGAATCAAATACGTGTTGTTTCTCAGTGAGGCCTCCTCCCTTTCTGGGCACTAGTGGAATTCAGCACTATTGTAGAGGTGGAAATCGGACAAGTAACAGCTACATAAAAAGCACATTGCAAAGTATTTTGAATTAATTATTGCTAAATTTTGTTCCTACTTGCAGTTACAGTGAGAGGCAGTGATGACCCAGTCTTGATTAATCAGAGAACCTCCACAGCGCACTAAACGAGAACAGCTTACACGGCGTAAAATCACATGATGCTGACCATGGCGCTGACCAGGAACTGGTCCATTATGGTCAGTTGCATCACCTCCTAGGCTGGGATAAGCAGAATCCACATAAACCCTCTTCTGAACTTCCCCCAGTGCAGCACCTTACAGAGAATAACACCAATGAACCAGAACTTCATTACATTATTAAATTTCCATTACATGCAAAATAAAACTTTTGTTACATGTATTAATCACAGAAATGGTAAAAACATTTGACAAGAGACAGATTCATAAACGACACCACCAGATTTAGCTTAAGGTTAAGAGGTAATAGCTGATTTATAAATGAGGATTATTGGCGTGTTTTACCGTTGCGATGTGAGGCGTGGGCGCGCATTTAATTCATTTAATTCAAAATGGCAGTAGTGATTCATAACAGGACACAACCATGCAAAAAATAACCCCTGATCCACTCTGATTGAGTGGAATATTCTTTACTCCACATCAGTCTCTGTAAGAAGCTGATTAAAGAGTATTTTCTACAGTGTTTCCAAACATGTTTGCTCACACATGCAACAGATACACACATACACACACACTCAACTGATTGACAGACATATTTAAAAGACACGCCTTGAACTGTTTGGACTGAACATCACAGCAAACCTTCTACACGAGCAGGATTTCAGATCAGCACAAACTTCTTCTGTAATAAATGCAAATGTAGGTGTTACAAAGAAAGATGATATTAACAGATTCCTCTCACACTTTCAACACACACTGAACTTAAAACAGCCTCTTCTTCCTGCAGCAAATGGAAAGTAGATTTGATTTGGAATCCAAATCAATGAAGAGTGATCGGGCATGCTGAGATTCTAATTACATGTTCAATTTGATCTTATTATAAGCAGTTTTAGCTTTTAACCCTGTTGTTGAATTTATAGTGGATTTACAAGGAATTTAATTTACATATGTCAAAATGACATTTTTACTAGTCAAAACTGAATTTTTTTTACAGCATTTAATATTTTTAAACCAGCCCCAAACCTTATTACATTACACAGAGGCACGTTCACTCACTCCTCAAACTCAGAGAGACAGAGAGGGAAAGATGTGAAGGATGTGATTGGGTCTAGCCAACTTTTATCACTGTCCCACCCAAAATGATTATAAATAAAGAAACCAAAAACACATATAAAAATTTTTAATATACACATATCAAAATCTCAGTTTAATCAATGACTATAACTGTGAGGGGTTTACTGAGCATCACTCCCACCTGATCCACCGTCACACAACACACCCTGAGACTCGCAGCTACAGTTCTCAGTGAATATAATAGATTCTCATTACTTTGGTAGGAGGAGTTTGAGTTCATGGAGTCCTGCATTAGCAGCGATACTGTCAGCATGTTGGAAATGAATGTGGGGAGAAACATAATGTGGATTTAAGGATTTGCAGAGTATGAATGCAGTCTGTTTCAAATATGAATGCAGCTGAGCACAAAATCACCTATAATTTGAAATAACTACAGTAACTGCAAACATTTATGCAACGTGGCACAGTGATCAGCCAACTTATTAAAACACTGAAGGGGTAAATTCTAGAAATCACTCGCATTTTAAAGTTATGGTGGTCGTTATTTATCCTGTGTGCACAGCAAGAGATACTTACCTGGCAGGGGAGATGCCATGATCACGAAGGTGGTTCAACCAGGACGAGGCTCGGCCATTGTACTTCAGTTGATGCAAATTCATGGGCTGAAGGTTAGGGGACCAATGGTGTGTGACTAAAGTGCCCTTGAGCAAGGCACCTAACCCCCAACTGCTCCCCGGGTGCTACAGATAAGGCTGCCCACCGCTCCGGACAAGTGTGCTCACTACCCCTAGTGTGTATGCATTGACTAGTGTGTATGTGGTGGTTCACTGCATGGACTGGTTAAAATGCGGAGGTGAAATTTCCCTGTTGTGGGACTAATAGGGGTCACCTCACTTAACTTATTCTATTTTTATTAGGATCTCTGAGTTGTGCTTGGGTCGACAAGTGAGCTGGTGTTTCCTACTGGAGTGCTTGACCATTTAGCAAATGTCTTATTAGCATACAAGACCAGATGTTGAAGAATCAAATGGTCACTTGCTCTTTCATCCTCTAAGAGAGATACAGTGAACTAAAAATCTAATTTAACACAAATACAGTTGTGCTTGAAAGGTTGTGAACCCGTCAGAATTTTCTATATTCCTGCATAAATTTGACCTAAAACTTCATCAGATTTTTTTACTCAAGCCCTAACAGTAGATGAAGAGAAACAAAATAAACAAATGAGACAAAAACATTAGACTTGGTCATTTATTTATTGAGGAAAATGATATTACAATATTACAGATCTGTGAGTGGCAAAAGTATGTGAACCTTTGCTTTCAGTATCTTGTGTGACCCGCTTGTGGAGCAATAACTGCAACTGTTGATTAGTCCTGCACATCGGCTTGGTGGAGTTTTAGCCCATTCCTCCATACAAAATAGCTTCAACTCTGATGTTGGTGGGTTTCCTCCCATGAACTGCTTGCTTCAGGTCCTTCCACAACATTTCTATAGGATTAAGGTCAGGACTTTGACTTGGCTATTGGAAAACATCAACTTTATTCTTCTTTAACCATTCTTTGGTAGAACCCCTTGTGTGTTTAGGGTCATTGTCTTGCTGCATGACCCACGTTCTTTTAAATTACAGCTCACGGACAGATGAGCTGACATTTTCCTTTCTAGAATAATTCAGAGTTAATTGGATCAATGATGGCAAGTTGTCCTGACCCAGATGCAGCAAAACAGGCCCAAATCATCGTACCACCACCACCATGTTTCATAGATGGGATAATGTTTCTATGCTAGAATGCAATGTTTTCCTTTCTCCAAACATAAGCCTTCTCATTTAAACTAAAAAGATCTAGTTTGGTCTCATCCATCCACAAAACTTTGTTCCATTAGCCTTCTGGCTTGTCCTTGTGAACTTTAGCAAACTGCAGACGGGCAGCAATGTCCTTTTTGGACAGCAGAGTCTTTTTCCTGGATTGGTGAGGTCCAAACTCTTTAGAGATTGTTTTGTAACCTTTTCCTGCCTTAGGGGCATCAACAGCTCTTCTTCTGAGGTCCTCAGAAATCAGAAGTGATACACTTGCACAAATATGTGAAGATCAGTCTGTGATTGTTCCCTGTTCTTTAAATAAAACAGGGTGGTCACTCACACCTGATAGCCATCCCATTGATTGAAAACATACATACATCATCTAAACCGCTTATCCTTCTGGGTCGCGGTTGGGTGCTGGAGCCTATCCCAGCTGTCACTGGGCGGAAGGCAGGATACACCCTGGACAGGTCGCCAGTCCATCGCAGGGCAGACAGACAGACATACACATTCACACCTAGGGGCAATTTTAGCATGTCCAATTGGCCTGACTGCATGTTTTTGGACTGTGGGAGGAAACCGGAGTACCTGGAGGAAACCCACGCAGACACGGGGAGAACATGCAAACTCCACACAGAAATGACCCTGGTCACCCGGCTGGGAATCGAACCCAGGCCATTCTTGCTGTGAGGCGACAGCGCTACCCACTGCGCCACCGCCCATTGATCGAAAACTGACTCTAATTTAACCTTCAAATTATCTGCTAATCCTAAAGGTTCACACACTTTTGCCACTAACAGATCTGTAATATTGTATCATTTTCCTCAATAAATAATTGACCAGGTCTAATGTTTTTGTCCCATTTGTTTTATTTGGTTCTCTTTACTATTAGAACTTGTTTTAGGTCAAACATATGCAGAAATATAGAAAATTCCAAAAGGTTCACAAACTTTCAAGCACCACTGTATATCATTGAGCTTTTCCATCTTTAGCTACTGTATGACATTTCCCATGAGAAAAACTTTTTTGATCATCTTATTTTCCATAGAATCCAGTGCAGGCATCTGACATCACAGTGCGACAATGGCAACCTATTGGAAGAGGGATTTTACCTAAGTACCTACGTTTTTTAATAATAAATAATAATATAATATTGAACATGTACACTCCTGAGCAAAAAATAGGCTAATGTTTTTACTGCCTTTTTTGGCTGGTCAGAGTCCAGATTTAAACTCTGTAGAAAATATTTGGCCTCAAATTAAACACAAACTAGCCTGGCAATGTTTTTCAGCTGTTTGAAGCCATCAGTGCTGAGTGGATTCAACATTTAAAGAAATCAAAAGGAAAAGCTTTCCAACACTAACTTACTGCATCGGTTTGTTCGATTATTTGTGGTTAAGACCATTAAAAGCTTAATATTTTGCCATTCTGGGCCCATTTTTTGCCCAGGAGTGTATACTATCTTAATGCATACAAGTCAGGGTTCCCTTTAACAATCTGTGCTACAACTCTTTGCAGGTGAAAAGAAAATATGGATCATTTGACAGGAAGTTACATAAAACAAAAAGGTTTCTGGCTAAAAGTTGTTTAATGTAAGGTACAGCAGCAACTCACCTGCAAAAACGAGGAGAAAGAGACTCTTCATCACACTCATCATTATGGTCTTCCTCACTGCGTCTCATGCTGAGAGCTTTTAAACTCTACACATCACTCAACAACCAAATTCAGCAATCAGGCTCTCACACTGTAGCTCAAACAGCCACCACTTACCAACGGTCCACTGAGGACGCTTTGCATGTAAGTGAAGATACCTCATAATTCCAGAGACTTTCTCAGCTCACACTAAGCCCCTTTGATCTCAAATATGAAATGAAAATCTTGCAATTTTTAATGAAATCTTACTGATCCCACAAGACGATAACAAGCATCACCTCAACACGGCAAAATTAAACATTAAATGAAAACTTAATTTATTAAATTGTCAAAATAAACTACAGTAACTAGAAAGTTAATTTCATAGTGTGAAATAACAGAACATAGTGTATTCTTTGAGATATCTGACCCATTGATAAGTGGTGAAGTTCGTTATGTGCCAAAGCCACATCAAACTCTATGCATTTTCCTATTTCAATGTTCACTAACAGTTAAGATCAGATAGTGAAGATGAATTATTAACTTGGAGCTACTGCAGAAGTATCATTTGGCTATCACTCCTTAGATGTTCACTTATGAATGTTATTGCAGTGTGCCCTTCTGCTGGTGTAGCTGAGAAACATGCTTGAAGCTGATTGGTTGTGGAAGTGGAGCAGATACAGAGTCTGGATTACAGCTTGAGTTATCAGACCTGCTGCAGAGTAAAGAAGACCACCATGATGAGCCTGATGAATTGTTCTTTTTTTCTATTGCCTTTGACCGGCGAGATACATTCAGAGTTTCAAAATTCACCACTCCATTTCAAATGCAAATAGACATATTAGCTATATTTATTACCCTTTTTGTTAGTGAGAAAAAAATGTCAAATACACTGGATTAAAATGTGTCAAATGATTGCAAATATGTAAAAATTGTTACATCAACACAATTACTGTCTTTCAGTGTTACTTATGGAAATGACTGTTGGTATAACATGTTTATTCTTGAATATTTGATATTAAATAAATACAACGCAACACTTTTTCATTGTATATAATGATTTTTGATTCATTTGCAGTTAGTGTGCAGTTTAAGCTGCTAATTGCATGTTTAAATTATAACATCTGTTTTGTGTGTCTGAATTTCTGCAAAAGTAAATGTCAGTGAAAGTGAGGTCAGTCTGGTGATCTCTCTGAGCCGATATCTCTGATAAATTCATACCCAGATTGAGTGAAGTGCACAAAAACCTATGAATATACAGAAACACAGCAGAAACCCCAAACAATGTTATTTTGGCTTTAATTAGAATTTGAACATGTATTGAACTGTTTACATGCATCTGACGGCTATTACAGATATGTCTATAAACTAAACAATGCTAATAGGCAGAAATACTTTGTCTTATCGGGTAACTAAATGGTCTGCTTTCTGTCAAATATACAAGCAGCTGTTTGTGAAGTCAGGAGTCGCGTACAACCATCAACTGAAACAGACATTTTGTTGTCATAAATAGCTCAATGCTGTAAACTGAGTGTATGCTGCACCCACTCTGTTTCTCAAAGCAACAACTCTGTTTCACATTGTAGCCACTCTGTGCCACAACAACTCTGTTTTATGTGAAGACCACACTGTTTCACCCTGCAGCCATTCTGTTTCATGTTGCAGACAACCTGTCATACCGCAACAACGCTGTTTCAGGTCACAGCTACTCTGTTTCACACCACAACCATCCTGTTTCATGTTACAGTCGTTCTGTTTCACAATGCAGCCATGCTACTTCACATTGAGACATTGTTTCATCACACAGCCACTCTTGTAGCCATTCTGTTTCACATTGCAGAAACTTTGTTTCACACCTTAGCCTCTCTTGTTTTATGCCACAGCCACTCTGTTTCACACCGCAGCCTCTCTATTTCACGCCACTGCCTCTCTTGTTTCATGCCACATGCTCTCTGTTTCATGCCACAGCCACTCATTTTATGCTGCAGCCATTCTGTTTCACGCCACAGCCACATTTTTTCATACCACAAACACATTGGACTGTTCGAAATAAAGGTTATGTGCAGGTACATTTTTCATTTATCAAGGAACAAACAACGTAAATGTTCCCTTAAGGGTAGAACAGTGGTTTTAAGGTGGAATTGTGTAACTTTAAGTTTTTTTTTCAGTGGAATAGTATGTCTTTGTATCTTTTCATAACCTAATGTTTTGAAACATAACAATAATAAATGAAACAGTGTGGAGTCAATACATCTTAGAAAATATAATTTCAATGGGTTATGGT